TTTGACAATAACGCCGAGACGGAGGTTGCATTTCCTTTCGTTTATGATAATAACGTACCCGCGGTCGACGCGGAATTGAGATCATAACCGAGGGTAGGAATTTGCTTGATTATGATATTCTAAAAGCGTTTTAGGCACCTGCTCGCGTAGATTTGGCTCCCTGTGGTGAGTGTTGAAATATTGGCTCACGTAAATTGTTTCATTTTGATGCTATGCGGGGATCCAGAGTGTTGATATTCTTACTTAGAGACACGGGAAAGGTTTTGCCTCCTTGATGGTCTCCGCCTTCAGTTGCTCTTGGATGCATATTGACGACTCCGATACATCGCAAAGGTCTGGGATTTAGTGCGTTGGCACTTGCATGTTGCCGTAGCTGAGCATAATACTGCATGCTTTGTCCGCTGGTATCTGTGGACGCCCACTAACGGGCCTGAAAAAAACAGCGAGAATCGGCTTTTTTTTTTTTTGCCGATTCTAGCTTCAACTTGACGCCAAAGTTACGGTCGATAATTGTCTTGGCCAAGACGCTATCGTCGGGCCTTCGTCTTCGAGGTGACCGGTACACCGACCGTGCGCTGCCTCCAGTGACTCCCCCGACGCAAAATGATCCTGATGCCGCGAACCTGTCGTCGAAATGCAAAGATTCCCTTTGAGGGGCATTTGCCGCTACCTTCTTGACTTCTAACCGACTATAGTTCAGAACTTCCTGGCCGAATCGAACAGACCTTGATTATGCAGCGAAACCGAAACCAACAGCTTGGCCATCTCGAAATGATACCAGAAGTTGTATTCAGCACGCGTGCAGCCCGATATCTGTTTGACCCGCGTGTGAAAATGAAGCGTAGCTACGATTCACCAAACTCGTCCAAGTCAAGTGACGACATGCATTTGAACGGTTCGCCGTTTGCCTTCGACCCGCGGACGTCGCCTCTGAGGGAATGACCCGCAGCCTCATCACCGATCCAGTGGATTCGCCGAAATGTGTACCCAGATGCCGCTTCGTGTACCTAAGTGCCGCTTCAGAGGCGAAATCTGCATCCTTTGCTTTGCAATCGCCCCTAGTTCGATCGGCGTCCGTCGCAGTTGTGTTTGCGCGAAACGGCATACGTTTGCTCGAAGCTTATGGCTGTCTGCGAGTAATATCTTGCTAAAAGGCGTGACTTTTTTTTCACGTGCTTGGGAACTGCATTAAAAGAACCGTATTTCAGTAGGGTACTGCCTAGGAGACTATATAATTCGAAACAAAATACAAGACATATATCGACCAACGCTTGTTATCCCGACCATCCGACAAACCTTTGCGTTTTGTGACGTCACGCAGCACCTACGGATGTCAGCCATTGACACTGGCGAAATTCGGGGTGCAGTTTCGTACACAGGATCATGAAAGGTTTAATTAATAACGGGAGATCATATATCAAAATAAAAATGACGTTTGTCTATATGAAGGCTCCCTCGACGTAACGAGCGCAAGAACTTAAGTACTCCCGGTTTCGACCGGACAATCCCTTTAAGTTTTTGAAGCCTGCAATTACTTCTTATTCCAATCACCGGGTCAAAGTTTGGTCTACGGGCCGCTTTTGTTTGAACAAGCAGACGACAAAAAGCAGACAAGTTTGAAAGAACAGACGAAAGTTCGAACGATCAGGCGGCCGCGGATATTTGAAGACGCACTGAACCCGTGGGTGGTCCTGACAACTTGCCGGTTTTCTCTCGTTCATGTTGGAACAAAGCAAATGCATTTAGTGACCACAAAGTGTTGCCTGCACAGGCAATCGTAGTTCGACAGCGTCTGGTTTGCCCTTTTCACGGCTACTAGCCACGTTCTCGGACGAACGGAGGGGGCAGAAACACGTGAAAACTAATCTTCAAACCTTACCAGACTCTTGGTACAGCCCCCGTCGCAGCATTTTGACGAGAAGGCAGGTTTTTTGTCTGGTTTCTTCCAAAAGAACACAGGAATGCATGTCTCGCACGGCGACTTCTGCCCACCACCCCAGACCGGAAGTGCGCCCGACGCGCCACCACCGCGGCGTGACGTAGGGGAGTTGAGTTCGTGTATAGTAGAAAATACCATCCTCGAAAATTTCCACGGCGCGCACATCCGCTCCCTTGAGTAGCGCTCAACTGGTTTGTGTCGCGGTGCTATGGTATCGAGCTAATAAATAAGTCAAGCCATGAATAAATATCTCAATAAATAAGTAAATAATAAAAAAATTATCAGGTAAATAGATAAGTCAATAAATATTTAAATAAAAAATTATTAAAGTAGAAAAAAACCGAATATATTTAACTGCAAGACAAAATTTGTGTAAAAAAGACTGATGTCTGCAGATTTTTTTTTTTTTTGCCGGAAAATACAACGGATTACAATAAAACTGAAAACTCTTTAAATTCATGTCATTCTTGCGCAATTGTAAGCCTCCATAGAGTATGTTTAGTAGTGTTTTGTTCACAGCGATCGATGTTTTTACTGGGAATAATGCTGTTATTAGATATTTTCGAAGAAAAGATAATGGTCATTTATACAGCCTTGATTAACATATCAGCCAAGACCAAGTGTGCCTAATGAAAATCTTGGTTTTAGCTTTCCGGAGTAAGCCCGTTCTTAGAATTGTAAAAAAAAATATTTTTTTATACAGGATGGGAAAAACAGCTCAGGAAACACGGACTAGGAATAGGAATACGGCATGACAATGCTGTACTCACAACTGAAGAATTTTAATAAAGGAAATAAAGACAGAAAATGCATACACTGTACCTTAAAATATTGCACACAAACAAAGAACCACTCTCGCCAACCGTGAAGCGTGTCAATAAACGGTTGGGGAACTTTTTCCACTTCATTGCAGAGGGTGCAAATGTTGGCCTGACTTTGGCAGGGTCACCGTTCTGGGCGCGCACAAGGATAGGGTGACGAGAGGGACCTTCCACATTTCGTGTCATGGTCATTCATGTATTAATGAGCCCTCATTGGCGCTGTCAGCAAAAGAGATATCCTTCCTGCGGGAAAAAAATGAGTCACACATAGTGAACGGGTGGTTTATCGCCACGCTTTACGGTTGGCGAAAGTGGTCCTTTGTTTGTGTGCAATCTTTCAAGATACTGTGTATGTCTTTTCTGTCTTTGTTTCCTTTATTAAAGTTCTTTACTTGGAGTACAGCATTGTCATGCCGTGTAGGTTCTTCTTCGTATTCCGTGTTTTCTGAGCCGTTTCCTCCATCATGAATAACGTCAACCAACTGGCCCAGTTCACCACCTTATTACAATTTTCCTCTATTTTGTTTATAAATATTGACGGTAGAAGCGAAGAGAAAAAGATAAGTCGGGTCTGAATGCCCTCAGGCCCTTCGCTTTTGCAATAAAGACGGCAAAACTTCTGAAGTGATATATCAAGCTGAACTAATGGGAAAGTGACCGTCAGTAACGCAGAAAGTGTAACGAGAGAACAATCAAATGTATCATGGCTCTTCCGTCGGTGCGTGTAGACTGAAAAGACACGTGCAACAAGTGTCGAAGACGTGACATCTTATAATGCGGAGACTGAGTTTATATTATGAGTAATGGAAAAGATGCAAGCGAGCTAGTGAACTTTCAACGTCTGGACACCCCAGACTAGGAAAAAAAAGTAGACCTGAGTGTGTGTTGTCCATTTTTTTTTTTATAACCTCTGATGTTCAAGATGTGACTAATTTTATTTCAATAATTATGGTTATTACATAAAAATTTTATATAAGTACAATTAACTTAATTTACACATCATTTATTAATATACATTCAATAACTGAACAATGAGCTAACTTAAAAATACATACACTGACGTCATATAATTAATTAAATTTAATATGGCAGTATTATACACAGTATCTGCAGAACTTTTACGTTTAATAAGCGCTTATACTGTTCTTAAAAAGCCCCTGACACGTCGAAAAAAATTAGGCGTTGAAATGGCATGTCAGGAGATTACAAAAAATTGTTTCACTATAGAGGGTCGTAGTTTTTTATATAAAAATAGAAATAGGAGGCCCAATTCAAAGTTCCCGCCAGTGCACTGTGACGTAACAGTGTACCGCAAGGTGTCGGGGCGGTCAGAAGGGAGGCATCGACATACGTCACTAAAAGTGGGTTCGCAGGAAGTCACGTGAGTTTCACTCCTCGTGCTCTCCGTGACCGTGCCTACGACTTTTTTTTTTATTATTTTTGCTCCTTGTACGAGCGATTGTAGAAAACGAAGTTTCAGCTCCACTAGCTCTTTATCGCTGCACCGTTGGTTAGTTTGGGTGCTGTAAAAGTTGAGGACGAAGAGTCAGTGGATCGACGTGATGGAGGTCAATGATGAAAGCGTTGCGAGTACAACCCAGTGTACGAGTACATGCCGTCAGTCCGATGATACAGAGCTATACTGGGCACACAAAAAGCTATAAAGTTTTGAAAAAAAATTTTTTAGAACGCTCGCAGAAATTAGGATTGCTTGCGTACGACACGTCCAATTGCATTGCTGAAACTTCGGACACCGAGGTCGTCGAATCATCGTATACTCTCCAGGATGAAGATGCCTACCGTCTCTCGGAAATGCATGCAGTGTGATCTCTTCTTCAGTTGTTGAAATACCGGGACAGTCCCTCACACAGCACCCTCTAGGCATTGTAGTTGATCACGTCAATTCACTGACTCTTCTTTTTTACCTTTACAGAAACATTAAGCGATGAAAAGCAAATAAAAGAAACCTTGTCTTTTTGGATATCACTGGTGGAGGTGCGAAGAATAACAAAAATATTAAAAAAAAATATTGCACGCGCTCGCGGTAAGCACGAGGAGGGATACAACTCACGTGCCTTCCGGCGATGCCTCCCTTCTGACAGCCCCGACACCTTGCGGTACACTGTTACGTCACAGTGCACTGGCAGGAACTTTGAATTTGGCCTCGTATTTCTATTTTTTATTAAAAAAAAACTATACACCTCTATAGTGAAACAATTTTTTTGTAATGTCCTGACATGCCATTTCAACGCCTAGCATAATTTTTGTTTGGCGTGTCAGAGGCCTTTTAATGCATATACAAATATTTATTGAGGTGAACATAATATCAATGGTGAAGAAAAGCATCAAGTTTCCCTTGCGGTTTGATAATATTGACAAGCAACACGACTTTGGCTCATCAAGCGCCCTATTCGTTTTGTTTTTTGGCAAGACCCACGAAGCAAGTACTGAATATAAAACAGGCAGTGTTTCACTCGATACTTAGCCCTTCATAAGAGTAGCCTCGCTCTCCGATCTGTGTCTTAGAATGAGATCGAGCTCGTTGACGCACGCAGCTGAGTTGAGACACTTCTGCATGATCACCGAAGCAGCGTCACCACCTGGAAGTCTCATTTTGAACCTCACGAATGCGACGTAATAGATTATACCAGAAAGACAAGTGACAAACACTGCGATGTAGTGGTACCGGTAGCGATACACTTGGGACAGCGGAACAGTTGCCATCGCAATGCAAATGACAAGACGTAAGAAGACAAGGACGGTGGGAACTCGAATCGTTCTTGCTGTCTTCGACATGGACCGTCTCAGTATGAGCAACGCCACCACGCTCGCGATGTCCCAGGTCGTTTCGAACAACACGGAGGCTTCAATGAGAAACGTCACAGAACCAGTCATTGTGTACAACAGGGAGAGCACACAGCGCGTTATGATGGAGGCCAGCGGAACAGCGGTGTTGACGTGGATGTAGGACAGGAATGACGCGAGGTGTCCTTGCCTGGCCGCAGCGAATGTGATCCTGGCTGAGACGAATATCTCTGCGCAGGTAGATCCGAAGAGGCTCAAGGATATGATTAGTGGTACCAGGACGCTCAGGGAAGGACCCCAGGTTGACCTGATGAACGTGACTGCGATGGCGTCGGATGCGACGATGGTGTCGGCGTCCATGACTATGAAGAAGGCTAGGTTTGTGAGCAAGTAGGCGGCTGTTGTGATCACGACACTGGAAAAGACAGCTAGGGGAATGTTCCTCGCCGGATTCTTCACCTCTTCTGCGATGTTGTTGACAGCCCTCCTGCGATACAAAATTGAATTGCAAATTTTACACTTTTCAGTTCGCGGACATTTGCGGCGCACTTAAATCGCCGATGTTCTTTTGACATCCCCTACAAAAATATGCACTGACACCCTCGCGATGTTTTATGGCAAATGGCGCCTAGAGGGAGCATATCGCCTAGCTGAGCATATCGCCTAACAACGTCCAACCGCGGACATTCTATACATCTTCCAAGTCATCAATATAACAACCTGCTGGGGTATCTTGTAAGAAGAGTGCTTACGATTGGGGGGGGGGGGGGGGCATCTAAGACAGCTATGTTTTCAGACAAGGGAAGTTGTAAGGGGGATAACTGTAGGATATGCTCCTACAAGGATATAAAACCTCAGAAACTAAGTTTCTGAAGGGAGTATCGCTACTACTCTGCAGTTCCTTATTTTCGTCTCCCTGTACGGTGGACTACTGCCAAGAATACGCAGCATCATCGTATAGTTCTAGGCAGTACGCAGCGATGTTGCGGGGAAAGCAGCCGCCTCGGTGCCTCCGAGGCGACATCGCCGTCCTACGGATCCCCAGGTGGCGGGTTCGAATCCCGACCGAGGTGCCCGCAATATGACGGAGGCTTATTGCGGAGAAGGCGCCGTGTGACCCGAGCTTTCGGTTGCACGTCAATTAATCCTCAGTCCTCCGCTGGTATGTGCCAGATGCCCGTCGTAGGTTTGGCACGTAAAGTTAATATTTTTGTATAAGAATAAATTTTCGGTCAATTTATAAAGAGACAATAAAAATATTCAAATTTTAAGACAATAAAACATTAGTGGCATTGTTTTCTGAATTAGAACCTCACCAGCGTGAAAAATCTCGTCCAGCTTTGGTAATATATATTGCGTGATATTAATGAGACAAAGTAGCAAATTAACTTACCATCCTGAGTATGTGTAGGCAGCACCATAAAAGGCTGCTGCAACATCGCCCGGTGAAATGTTGTCACTTGAGTATGATGGATCTTTGATGTGATTCACTTGTGGGATAGAAACAAAGAACATTAACCGAATGGACAGTCGAAGGGCATCAACTTTCTCTTTTTACAGCGAAGCTGTTTATGACTATGGTTCTGTGGATTTTTCGTGTGCGCCAACAAAAACTCAGGGCCCGAATTTTTAATGCAAAATCGCTTCATTCTATGCAAAAGTTTGTACGTCTCATCACTTTGACATGCACTTTCAGTAGATTAGGTATCAATAGGCACCGTTTTCACGATCAGTAGACTCTCAGGTAGATAATAAAGGTTTCTCAAACATCGGCCATGTCTATGCTCGCACCACCCTCTCTTTGTTGTCGTTCCAAGCGCTTGCGTGCCTAGTTTCCTTCCGCTCTCCCGGGGTAGCAGTCCCCTCGCGCGTGTCTACTTTCCGCCGGGTGGCGGTCCCGTTGCGCGTGTCTGGTTTTTTCCGGCTCCTCGGGGCGGCGATAGTTCCTACCTTTGTTGAAAATCCTGTGTCAGGTCTGTGTCGTGCGCTAAACAGCTTCGCTGGTAATTTTTATATTTACATGACTTTTATATTTAGCTATATGTCAAGAAACCTTTATTACGACACAACGAGGCGGCGGTTAAATGCTTTTTCTCTCACTGATGTCTTGAGCTTTCTAAAGGTTTCGATGAAATATTTCAACCAGATCTCAAATGAAGTGTGGGTGGTAAATGAGAAAATGCAAAAGCACATAATATTTGTGCGTGACAACAAACGTTTCATTGAAGCCTATAGATCTGTTTCGTGAACTCTCGTCCCCAGTCACATAATAGGCATATCCGGTATGGGTGACGAAAAAATAATAAAACGTTTCAACCTGTAAACAATAAAAAGTAGAGCGGAGGCAAAACGAGAATGTGTGACGGTTACGCTTATATTTTGAATGTCTTCTACTGGCGCGGCGACGGCAAAACAATGTTTTCTCCCATACTGGAAGTGACGATGCGGTGGCGCTGTTGTCGGCACGGCGCATGCGTAGAAGCTTCACCTCACGCGAATCTGGTGTTCAGCCCACGTGGAGCACCCACACATTCCCTGGGGCGAACGCTTGCTTGGTCGTAAACAGCGTGACAGTGTAATCGATTACAATTACTATTACTCTTGGATAAAAGGTATTCGATTAGATCACTTGATTACTTAACGGCAAAAGTAATTGGACATTACTTAAAGAAGTGATCGTTACTTTTCCGATTACTTTATTGTGTGAAGACACATCTTTAGCGCTCATTACAATGAACTACTTCCAACGTATATTTCACATTTGCACAAGTATTGAAGAAGGAAAACTGGCTCCCTCTTCGTGGTCCTTGCACCTTCACAATGCGGACACAAGCATAGAATTCGTTTGAAGACGTTTAATGATTTGGGCGTTCGCCAGTGTGTGTGTGTGTGTGTGGGGGGGGGGGGGGGCAGCGGAGGGGGTTCTAGATCTTGTTAAGCTTGAGCAAGGGTTGTCGCTCAAAGTTTGCGTCGCTCATTTTATTATTCGCATGTGGATGAGCTCGCATAAGAGCAGCAGCTCCAGGATTTGAAACGGATCATGTGTAGTATCCATTAGCGGAAGAGATCGCCCCGACCACTTCTCAACTCGAAACATTGCTTGTCACAAAGACCACGTGGGGGAAATTAAAAAATATTTCAACTGCCTTTGTTAAATTTTGCATCCGTTTTAGGCATTCTTCGGTTCTGGTTCTCCTACGGGCTGCGAGTATAGGTACCCTAAGCAGGATTTTTTTATTTATTTTATTTGTGTGTGTGTGTGCGTGAGGGGGCTAGTTTGAACGAAGGACTCACAAAGCTACATTCTGCTTTCTCAAACTTCGCCCTGAATGGCCTTTGTCACGCACTGTGGCTTCCCTGGGGCTTCCCCACTCCCAGTCCCAGCTAAAAAAAAACGAAAAAAAAAAAAAAAAACCGACATTTTACAGAAACTGTACATAGAAAGAGATTGACCTCGTTTCCTACAGCTCCGCAAAAAAAACTTTCTTTTTTTCCGTTCGAAAAAAAAAAGAAGCAAATTTTATTTTTGTCAGTTCATAAAAAAAGCGTGTGCCGGGGGAAAGGGGGGGGGGGGGGGTCCTGTGGACAAATTGTAACGGTTACAAGTAATTTTATTACTTCAAAAAGTAATAAGATTACTCTTGTGTTTACTTCCTAATAAAAGTAATCAACTGATTACAAAATTACTCCAAAAAGTAATCGATTACAAGTAATTCGATTACTTATAATGCGTACGGTACAAGTCTGGAATACATTCATTAAAAAAGTAAACACAGGAGTAGCCTGATTACTTTTGGAGGTACTAAAATTACTTGTAACTATTTTCCCCTACCTTTTTACCTGCTGTCTTTTTTCTACCAAGAAAATCCTCGAGCCACGTCTCCGACTACACTCAGTTGCACCTTATGTTGTACCGCAGGGAAGGCTTGAAGCGCGAGCTCATAGCGTTGGCAGCTGCTTTTGGTGCACGATAGCTTGTGCCGCCGAGATGTGCCCTATAGCAAGGGGCTCGCGCATTTAGCATTTCCTGCGGTACAACACAAAGTGAAACAGAGTATACGGGATGTTTTATAAAACATCGGTCAATAGACCGATCTCACTAAGCATTCTACGCATGCGTGACGCCGCCATAACTGTAGTTCAAAAGAGGTAGGCGCCCGTGAACGAGGCAGCTCGTGTCGTCTCGTGCTTTGCTCGCGCCGACCTCCAGCTCGATACTTGCGCGTGCAGAAAAACTACAGCTCCCACGATGCTTGCCATTAGCTGAGTTATGCTTCAACCTCTATGCCTTCGATAGCGCATTTCTACGCATGGTGAAGTGCATTCTTCGTTTGTGAATGTTATGCCTGCCATTCTGTTGATCCGAGAACTATTTACCGTTGAACTACATGTTAGCTGTGCATAATGTTAAATGCCACTAACAAATTCTTTGCAATCAAGATAGGCCTTACCTTTAAATGAGTATAATATGCCGGTCATGATTATAACCAGTAACAAGGTACATTTTAGTCCAGAAAAAATGTCTTGAACTCTTGCCGAAATGGAAACAGAAAACGAGTTTGCTGCATTTGCTGCGACTGAAAAGGAGACCATGTAAGACACAAGCACATGAAACTAAGCGTGAAACAATTCGCAGAATAATGATAGTCGCTGACATCCTAAGAAATGCAGCTGGCGTGACTTCTTATGTTCACATTTCTTTGCTTATTGATTGATTGTTATTCATTCTATTGGTAACTCCGCGATCTCGTTGGCCACATAGCGATAATGCAATGCTTCCCACTCGACGCGCCCTGCGTTTCTCATGCTGCCATTACCCATAGATAGGTGGCGCACGCCGCCGCCCGATTCAAATGAATTTAGATTTATATATTCACCCATTCATGACGGCGTTGCGTTGTTCGTTCTCGAGACCTGTAGAACGCCAGCTACCTCCCAGTAACAATGAGCATAGAGAGAGAGGCACTACTTGCTGCGGCCAAAGCCAGCGAGCTAGTCAGGCAGAGATAATCCACCTTTTGCCTTTTCCCCTGGAGACCTTGCGTCCAATTAAAACAAACAAACAAACAAACAAACAAACAAACAAACAAACAAACAAACGAACAAATATTCTCACTGATGTACAGCAAGGCGATCAAGGCAGTTGCTCCGTTAGGTGGCGTGCATTCCGGATACAGTAGGCTTAGAACGTATGCGGAGAACGTCAGGCCTTCGACAGAGATTGACGTGGGATCTAACATGGCCATGCAACTCCAGGCGTAAAGAAACGCCGGAAAGTCGCCGTACGTCCCCAACGCTTTCCCGGCTGCCGAAAAGTACGCGTAGTCGCCACCAGATGCCGGTAGCAGTGCCCCCAGTTCCACGAAACAGAAAGCTCCTGCGTGTAAAGAGGGTATTAAGTTATCTTCGTTTATACGTCAAGAATTTCGACAGTGATCTTGTATTGACAAAGAAAAATATCAAATGTTTCCTTTTCTTTTAGAATATTAGACACTTGTTTTGCCAATGTAAATATAACGAGAGGTGACAGGAAACTGGTTTTCGATAAAATAAAGGATGACTACATGCTTCGTTTTACCTTATGGTGGACCACGGCCAACACAACGAATCATCGGAGTCAACTCAATGACCTGCGAGTCTTTGGACAGGCTCAAAGGGCAAAAGCAATAAGCCGACTTCCGCTCGCTTATTGCTTTTGCGAGGCGTTGTGGAGACTGCAACACATGCAGTGAGTCCCTCATCCCGGGGCCAGCACATGCACGCGATAAGGGACGGCATGTGTATAACACTGTCCCGCGCATTGGCATGCGCATATGTGACCGACAAACACCAAGTCTCTCTCTCTCTCTCTCCCCCCCCCCCTCCCCCGCCCCCCAAAGAAATGCTACCGCATTTAAAAGCTGTCAAAAGGCTATACAGAGTTTTTGATAACGCTTAAAGATTTGTAAACGTATTTCATTTTTTCTCTATTTTTTTTTCTTCTAAAATCTTCGAGTCATAAGTAATATCCCAGAAATTCACGCTTCGATTTGACCGAATGGAATTGCTTACCAATAAGGCTGTTTAATCCAGCGGCCGTCCACACCAACAAAGCAATTTCTACGGAACCTGCATTTTTCAGCACTGTTCCCGGCGACACAAATATCCCAGTACCTGTGTTCAAACAAAACAAAAAAAGCAAAAACAACGAATATGTCAGGCCTACTCCAGGAAATCATGCAGAGCGCCATTTTCAACTGCTAGTTTAGAGACGAAAAGAAATGCTCTGGTATTGGACGTTCTAATTTTTGTACCGTTCCACTTAATCCATCACCACACCACCACCACAGCCCCCACCACCACCACCACCACCATCATCATCATCATCATAATTTCCTTTTCTTGAAGTACCAAAAGGTTACAAGGGGTAAGCATACTTATATACCAAATACCAATCAACACACCTTCACAAACGCTAGAACTGAAATCTATATAGGGGGTTAGAGAGGAAGAGGGTAGTGGCAGCTGCAAACTGTTACTGCTATTTATGGAAACAATGTGGTCTGGTATAGTGCGTTCCAGTTTTTTATGGTCAATGGTAATGCAGACGTTTCCTAAGCAACTGTGAACAATGAAATTCCACGTAATTTGCGAGAATGGTCGAGACTAGACAAAATTCGCTGAGTACGTTATAGTAAAGGGTATTTTAGATGCTTTTGTGACAAAATATTAAATGAAGAAGAAAGAGGCGAGACACACTCTAGCGAAGAGAATCTGAATTGAGGCTGGTTGACCGGCGTAATCCTGATGTGTTATATGCGCTTTCGGCCGTGATACGAGAAACTATAAGCACCCTTCGCTGAAGAAATGAGATGCAGGTCGAATGCCATGTGATGTGTTGCACTGGTGATGACACGCGTCTCTAGCAGTTTAAGATGCAATATTGTTTATAACATGCATTTTGGAGCGAATTTAGATGCGTGTCGCCAGCTATTCACAGTGGTTCGCTTCAAATCCGTGAAAGGACAACCGCGTCCTCAACTACAGTTAAAGCACATTTCCATGTTACTTTTGGTATAATATTGGTATACTTTCACAAAAGTAAAATTTTAGATGCCAGTTTAAGTAGGCGCGTTAACCCTACCACAAATTACTAAGTGCAATAAACGCCTAGTGAGTATAGACATCGGAGGTTGAAAGCATATTCATGATGTATCTTTTCCTGATGTGTAATTTTTCTTTTTTCGTACAAGTACAAACTTAGTCCTAAGACGTAGGAAAAAAAAAAACAAAAAACAACCGGACAGTACAATGAAGTCTCTAACAGAGAGACTTCGTTGTACTGTCCGTTTTTTTTTCCTACGTCTCAGGGTTACTATGGATATCATTCACCAGCTCGCCTGTATTTTTTTTACCGTTCTTACAAATTTAGTACACCTTTCTTCTAGCTTCTAACCAAATAATCCGACTTTTATTAAGCTTGTGATTATCCTTACTTTCAGTAAAACAGTTTCTGCAGCACAGATTAAAAAAAACAACAGAGAAAGTGTATCTCAGGTGAATATTTGTACTGGACGGGCGAGATTCATTATTTGAGGCATAAATCAGCACTAAACACGTTTAAGCAGTCTTAAAAGGCCGCTATTTTATTTCTTTGGGCAGCTTCTGTGTAGCTACAATTATTACACATAACGACGGAAAGTTCTATTGCAGCTTAATTAATACACTCCAGTGAAAAAAAAAAAGAACACAGTAAAAATAATACAGGACGACTGCAAATGGTAAGTCATCAAGCAGATATTTTTTGCTTGATCTAGCAATAGTATGAAGTATTTGTTTTGTTGTAAGATGCAGTATAATGCGTTTTCAAAGGTACCAGTGTATGCGGCAAAGAAACACTTATTCAACGTTCCAACGACAACCATACATTTTAAGTAACCTCTCTGCGCTGTAGACAGTAAACGTAGCACGTTGGCCCTTCCACGTGACAACGGCTCCCGCACAAAGATTGTCTTTTTCCCAATGTTATAGCATAAGATAATCTTTTTTTTACGAGTCAAAAAACTTTCGGTGCTTATTTCTTGGTCTGTATACGTGCTCAAGGGACCAGTATCACATCGGACACACCAATCTCTTGTAAAAAAAAGGCAAGGAAAGAAATTTTAAACCAAATTAAACGATTATCAAAGGGAGCCTGGTGGATGTCGCTAAAGCCTTTGTAATGCCCGTTTAGGAACCTTGACAGGTAGTTACGATGACTGTCTCGCCTAGAACTATAGACCGTTTTATTGAAAAAGGGCGAGAGAGAAGAGGGAAAGGGCTACTGGCGCTTTCCTTCTTGCTGGTGCGTTAGAAAGACTGGGAGTCCCGGATGAGAGGCTTCGCCGATGTTGGGTGTATGCATCGCCCGAACTTCGTTCGCACTTTCTTCTTTGTTTTAAACTTCCAAAGTACCGCCCAGTGAGAATATTTGAATGCGGCTCATAGATTGGACCCAAGCATTGCGTGGGCACTCGATATGGGCTCGTGATAATTGATAGCTCGGGGAGCATTCGGGTAGTGGCCCGTGTCCAATCGCTGCAATGACGACGATACCCGAACCATAACAATGTCTGGAACTCAGCGGGTGTCCTGTGCTTTGCCAACCCAGCGCGTGGCTATGATCAACACTGGCGGCATATAATCGGCTCCAGATCACGTGGCCGCTTGTTCTGGCTTCGAGTTGAGAGGGTGAACGGTGCTCGTTTTTCTTAAATTTTTTTCTGGAACTTCTATTGCGTGGGGTGAAAAACGAACGCGTGTTTCATAGGTCATTAACGTCAGGGATCCGTTCTAAGCGGTATTTGCGCAAAGTGGAAAACTCGTTGCATCGCCCCTTTAAGGCAGTACCGTCGATGAACGCGGGGTACGCTCGCAAGGTGCGTGCAAGCTTTCTCGTGATAATTTTTTGTTTCAGCTTGTAAAGTTTTTTAACTGAATTTATCTGAATATTGATATCTTGAAGTGGTGACACTGACTCGATTTTATCCTTATCATTTGCAACACTTAGTTGAAGGCTCATTTCCGCCGGCGGGTGTGGCTTGAAATTTTCGATAATTTAGTTCCATCGGTTTCATCGGAGCCATGAACCTATATTCCGTCGGAGCCGTGAACCACCGGAGCCATGAGTTCCATCGGAGCCGTGGACCTATATTGACCGTCGCAACACGACTAGATTCTTTTTATTTTCAAACTTAGTACGTAATTCAGCAAGAAAGAAACCTTAAATTTATGTTGCTGAAAGTTGAAACATATGCTCATGCATCGATTTCGAATCGCTGAATCATTGATCGACTCGCCCCGGAAATAGGACCATCTCGACTTTGCTGTTTTCAGTTCTCGACAAACGACACACTCGTCGGTGCGGGATCCTCAAATAAAACTTTTATAGACACCTTCAAGCGGGAGTGAGCTCTCTACGGGTTGCCTTCCGGGCGCTTGCCAGAGCGGGCCATTTAAAACGAAAAGTACAGCCATCAGGGCTCAAAATACAAACGTGTGATTGTCATTTACGAATATTGCGGATCATACGAAGCATCCCTTTAAAGCGATGGCTTTGTATAGGGAACCTTCCGCGAAAAATTGCTTGCTCGTTCTTGTCGTACCGTAGGAAAGATTGAAAAGGGAGGGGGGAGTCTAGGCTTCCTTCGCCGTCCCTTTCCCCTCTCTCCCCCGTCCCTCCTACGTTGCGGCCATCACGAGCATGCCCTTTCTCATCAACCCTATCAAGTGATAATTCACCTTTCACAAGAAAAGCTGTCTATTAGTTCTCCTAATGGAATTGTGTTAGATAATCTTATTACTTTTATGCATATTTTTAAAGGCCCAAAATGCTTTTCAACGAACCGCCCTTCCCCCTCCCTTTATCCCCAAATCCTGTCCGTGTACTTCCCGCTAAATTTATCGGGGCAAATTTACGTCACGGGACCTAAACATAAATTCGTCTTCCTTGATAGATTCAGATGGAAAATTGTTGTCATGTGACATGTGCACCAGATCAGTCTCCCCGCTACATTTAGGAGGAACATTGATGTCACGTGACTTGACGTCGTGGACTTATCAACGAATTCAGTTTCCCCGCTAAATTTGGTGGGGAAATAGATGTCAACGTGACGTATTCACCAAATCAGTTTTCCCACTAAATTGTGATAAATTATAGATTCTTAACTTCCCGAATCGACTGCATAAGGCCGTCTAAACAGATTTAAACCATTGCTCCTTAAATGCTGCATTTCATGCGTTATAAGACTTCGAACGTCACTGCAATTCTTTTTTTACTGAAAATTTGCACAACTATTACACCGAGGAATCCTACTATAACAAAAGTGAATACAACATGCAGGGAGTAGTTGAAGATACCGTACCTATAATACTTCCAAGCAGTAATGTGATGCTGCTGAAGAGGCCAACTCCTTTCTTCAATCTTAAGACTTTTTGAGGTGTTTCTTCGGGGTCCGATGAACTGTCACTAGTTCCGTATCTCGGGACCGCTTCGTACGTGTCGTTCACCACCTTACTCCTAATTTTGTTGACGGCCTTTCTTAGCTGTCTTCGGGTGGCTCCTATAAAAACAAGACATGTTTCAAGTGATATGCTCTGATGATATAAACTGACCTGATCATCTGCATCAAGTTAGGGTAATAATAAACCGGTATGATTTCCTTAGACTACACATGTCAGTCCCTATGGAATGCTTTGCCCTAGAAAACGTCTCAGCACGTATGCCCCTAGAAAGTCTTAGTCTCTAGAAAGTGTTAGCCACTATAAAAGTCTTAGCCGCTCAAGACATATCTAAGCATCTACGTGAGTCTTTGCCCTTATAAAAGTCAGCCCGTATGAAAGACTAAAGCAGTGTGAATGTTTTAGCTCATATCAAAGTATTAGCCTCTGTGAAAACCATCGATGATATAAAAGTCTTAGGCCCCGTGAAAATCTCTGCCCATATAAAAGTGTTGGCACCAACCAAAATCAGCTCTCATGAAATTCCCAACCTAAGTAGAAACCTAAAGCCCTACGTGACTTTTAGCCCGTATGAAAGTCCTAGCTAGGACTTTCATACGGAAGTCTTAGCTTCTATGATTGTATTAGACCGATATGAAGGGCTTATACCATATGATGGTCTTAGCGCCTATGAAAGTCTTAGCCGGTATTAAAGTCGTCGCCTCTACGGATGTTGAAGCACCATACTCGGGTATACTGCTAAAAGTAGTATTCTGTTTTAATGCTAGCTCACTGTATTTGAACAGTTTAAATAGTATAACCCGCTTTACGAAATTACCGTGCCGATAATTAGGGCGTCAATAATTGCATTAAACATATAATGCGATCAAGTGCTTCCGTGATTTAGCCTACCCATATCGAAACATCAGACGGTATATTTGGTAGAGCCGTTGAAATTATTCAATTTACGTACGTGTCCTAAGATGATGTGCATCTCTTAGAAATTAACAGAGATCTCTAGGTCAATAGAATTCCAATATTTTAGCAGTCGCTTTTTCGAATGTACATAAAGCGTCTGAGAAATGAATGAATGAAAGCTTTGATTTTTACCTAAGCCAAGGCTTCCTCAGTATTAATATAAAATATTTGTTAACGGACTCTCATCTTCTTGATTCAATCTTACGTGAAATCCCTTTATATGGTTAAATAATTCAAAATATAAATGTAAAGATATTTCGTTTCTCAAGATTTACAACCTGTAGGAAATGAATGACTGCACACGGTCAAGGAGATTTGTATTGCTCCTCCTGTGACAATTTTTCCTTCACGAGGTTGAGTTATATGTTTGTAAGAAACATGCAAAAGTCGCTCGTATTTTAAAATTTATAAATAAATATAACATGAAGACCCATATTCTTTCTTCATATTTTGCTCGTAGAATAAAGAGCAATTTTTTGGCATCATGGTTAGAAAAACGGCAATCTACAATGCGCGACATTGTTCGCACGAACAAACAACCGCCTGTTTTTCCTGTGTTTATGCTGAAATTTAAAAGCTTTCATGAAAATTACCATGGTGATTGAAAATGGTCACTTAGTGCACTAACCTAAAAGGAATAATTTAGTGCCTGACGATAGGTTTTCGAGAAAAAAAAATTCCGAGGACGCCTAAGCACTTCTTATGAATTGTGAGTGCGAAAGCATTAACGGCGCCGAGAGGAGCAGAAGCGGCCGCAGCGCCGGCAGGGAGTGCGGCGGTACACAGCTCAGACCCGCTCCGCCGTGTATTCCGATACCTGACAACGATGGTGGATTTTGCCTATACACGTGGCGCATTCCTTCAAGCAGCGCGCCATGTCTTTTTATAGCACATGGCGCTGCGGCGGTGACATCACTCTCCCCCACTGCGCAGGCGCAACGAAGCTTGCCGGCTTCACGACGGCTTCCGTGACGAAGCATTGTGTTGCTGTGCTTTTGCTTGTGTTTTCTTTTTTTTAGTTTCTGAGGCCCGCTTGCTTTGACCGCGAGCTGCGCGGCACCTAGTGGCACCTGCTTCCGTGGCAAAGCATATATGATATGACGCGTCGCAGCCAATTTGCGTTTTTCGCGGTTAGGGTTTTTTTATGTCTCATTTATACGCGGTTACAGACGTCGCCGGCTCCGCTTCACTAAACAATTAAAGCTGTCGCATAAAAAAAAAATCGGTGTTGTATTTTTGTTAACAGTGTGCCGGAGAGTGCACAAGTTGAGAAGAGCTACAATTGGAACCTGAAAGTCTACCAGAAGTGATGCGCGTTTTAGGTATTTTAATTTAAAGTAAACCATGAGGAATGCCTGGATAGCCCCAAATAAGATAACGTAAATTTCGACAAAAAATATATATAAAGGTAAGGAAACCAGAAGAAATGAAACGCCTGTGAAGCTTGTGCATCGAGTCGATCTCGAGAGCAGCTGTGTTTTGAATTCTCCTGCTGATGCTAGCGAACAAAGACATGAAGCAGAAATGGCATCTGTGCTTCAACAGCTGCGTTTCTGAATAAATGATATCGCGATGGCTTCTTTATAGACGCTTGTAATCTTTTTTTTTTTTTTTGCTGCCTCGGAAGTTTTTTTTATGCACCTCCTGTTTTGGCCAGGAGGCGCTGCGGAAAAACTAGAGTTCCCGTAAGAAAAACAGGCTTGTAGCGCACCCTTCGATTTGTTTGTCGGTATTGGGTAGTACAAACTTGCGCATTCGAATTTGTCCCACGTGAAAACGTTAGCCGGCGATATGAATTCCCCCCTTGCAATTGTTTTACGGCACGGAATGGAGCCGATTTCTAATGTGGAAAGCTTCTTTCGTTCCTCAAAACTTCGCAGAGCGAAGAAACTCGGTGATGCATGCTACTGCAAGCTGCGTCTACGCCATACAAGAAGCCGCAAATTAGGTGTAGGCGCGCTGTCACTCGCAAAAACAGCGATCTTCCTGCAATGTCGAGCTTGAGGCGAGCATTACGAGATACGTTAACGCGCCTTGTAAGCAAAAGCTGTCAAACTGCAGTCCCTAGCTGCGTACAGCCAACACCATCAGCTGACGACCAACCTCAAAAATGCACGAAAGCAGACGCAAGCGATTGAGCGGCGACCGGCCGTCTGTCGGCCGAGCAGTTCCTATACTCCACGCCGCTTCTCGAGATATTGCAGCTTTTCTTACGCATTTGAGCTGTAAGCTTGACGCAACATAAGATCTGCATTCTGCACGTGCTCCTTGTCCTCTGTTGGTGCGCGCGGACACTTGTCTTTTCAAAGGAAAGCTCTTGTTGGACGCGGCCCTTTTACTGCTGATCTCATGTTGCAAAAGGATTTTCGACTTTTCAGCGCACAAATATTACACACACACACACTAGAATTTGAACAAACACACTACATGCACACTGCTCGGTGTGTATGTTGTGTGTTTATTCAGATTACAGTGTGCGTGTGATATTTGTGCGCTGTGAAGTCAGCAACATGTTCAAACAACTCACCCAAGCTGCAGTTCTGCAAAAGATGTAGTTCAATCGTATCGCTCCACTGGTCAGACAGTATAGCGTGTTCCTGTTCGTAAAATTTGCACGACACGCGTTTGCATGCCACGGCCGTTTGATCGAGTGGCCATGCTTAGCAAAACAACCTGGGGTCCGAGAAAAATAAGTCTCGCTTACTGAGTGCGCTGGGCGGCTAGTATCGTACCCTCCGCTCGACTTCGTACGGTTTCGATGGGAATCTGAAGAAGTTTACTCCGGGGTTTTTCCTGTTCTTGACAGTTGGCGACGTAACAGTGCCGTCGACGGCGACGTTTCGAACGCATTAAGGCCGCGCTGCTTGCTCCCGGTTTCGACATGCTTGGACGTAAGAGAAATTACTAGCTTGGGGCGAATTCGGGTTCACGGGGTAACGTTGTGCGATGACGACTGAGGGTGACACATTCTGAGTCGTGACCACCCGAACGCGCATAAAACAGCTGCGTGCAGAGTTAAAGACCCGCCCGAACAGGTTCGTTATTGTGCGGGGCCGCGGGACTTGTACTACTCAGTCATTCTATCGCCCGACATCGGAGGGCGCCACGATACACTCAAAACTTAAGCGCAGGAGGCCTATACCGAATACTGAATATTTTGTTTTGTCGGCACGTGCGATGCAGAAAGCACAAAATACAGACATCTCATAAAAAAACTCAGCTGCACGCCTCCAGAAAAACGTAAGTGCAAAATTGAATGGCATTTTGACGGCTCGTACACCCAAAAACAAAAACTAAGCTTTATTTTTTCTTGGTGTGTTTGTGTATTTACATTAGTTGTAGCAGAGTTTTTATATAAGGCAAAGCGGTCAAGTTCGGGTCCATGTCGGCAAAACATCGAATTAGTTGCATTATAAGATTCAAATACAGATAGATGGTGCTATACTCAAAATATCGCATTTTGCCCCACCCTTTACAAGTGTTGTGCCCGTTACCGAAAATAAGTAACGAAATAGTGTTACTTGTTAGTTTTGAAAAAAAAAAAAAGCTAACGCGTTACAGAGCTCCGTTACCAGTTTTTAAATGTAACGAAATACGCGAGTCGTACTTGCCATGACTAATGGAAGTTATTTTTACGTTAGTTTGTCGTTACTTTGCGACTCACTGTTAGTATATGGCGTACATGAAGGCTGTTTACAATAACCCGCCTCTATAAACTTCAGCAACAATACACTTTTACAGACGAATTATTTATTAATTTTTTTATTTGTATTTTGCACCCCAGAGGAGTGGGGTACAGATCATATTTATACGTTGGAAACTCACACAAAAAGCACGAGCCAGCGAGCAATATAAATAAACAATTCAAAACAATACAAAATAATAACATTTCAATAACGTGAGAAATGCTTACAAAGAAATTCATATTGCATTACTCAGATTAATAAACGATTCACTGTCGGCACGATGTTTAATGTATATCCTCGAACACGTGACGTGAAGCTTTGCGAGCGCGATTCGGAGAACTGAACCTTGCTCATTGCACCTGCCTGGAAAGAAGAAACCTTTATGAAAAGAACGACTGGATGCACGCACCGTTACGGACGCAAAATAGACCTCTTCGTGTAATCAAAGTTAATCCGCTAAAATTAACGCGATTTTATTCCATCCCAAACCAACGTCGCAATTCCAATTAACGACACGTCAGCACCAGGCCACCCCTGACACACTTTTTTCTTATTTTGGTTCAAACCGTGGAAACGTCAACGCCTTCAAACTTAGAGTTTATCCTCCCTGTTGCTGACTGAACGAGAATTTATTTGTTTTGTAGAGAATATGTGACCAGCTGGAGTAGCTAGGGACGCTGAGGCAAAATGCTTCAAGTGGCGGCAGGCTGAATTGCCTTCTGAACGGATATGTCGCTTTCCAGCGAGGCGGATGCTCAGGGTATGGCGACGGTGCAGCTGCGGTTGCGCTGTCGACGACACTGCACATGCGCAGAAGCTTCAGTTCACTCGAATTTAATTTCTGCGCAGGCGCAGTGCCCACACCTGGTGTGGGAAAACGCCGGCTTGTTTGTAAACAGCGTGTCGGTCTATACAAAAATTGCACTAAGAACGCTTAGGGTAATTCCGCGCTGCAATTAGCGAAGGAGTCTGAAATGACGCCGCTTATGAAGAGCTTTGTTGGGGTTACTTTGCCCCTTTTACGTAGTGTACAGAATCAAAAGTATTTTGTTTTTAAACAATCATGCGGTCATTTTCAAACGAAAGTATTGAGTAACGGGTAACGTAATTTGATCGGAGATTCCATAAAATAATAACGACATTATTTTACCTGTTAGTAATTCGGGATTCTAACGAGTACGTTGGTACGTTAGTAAAAAAAAACTAACGCGTTATTAGTAACGTCATTACTTGAACGCGTTAGTTCCAACACTGCCCTATACTAAACTGCTACGGATTTCTGAGCAAACATTTTGAGAATACTTTTGAATTTTCAAATAACATTGTGTAAATTTTTTTGAAGTGTCTGAGCAAGCGTGCATTAATTACTGTATTATATTTTATGTATCAACAACTGTACCCTTGTCACCTAATCCCCCCCCCCCCCCCCCCCCCCCACTCCCCCCTGTAATACCCTTCGGGGCCTTGAGGGTAAATAAATAAATAAATAAATAAATAAACAGTTGTCACCAGAAGAAGAAAAACTTGAAATAAAATAACTGTTACTTACAACTGTCATTTTACAAATAGAAAAAATAGAGAGAGTGAGAGAGAGATAGAGAGAGCGTTCAAACATCCATGATTTTCAAAGGGTTCTATTGCTCTATTTATTAGAGCTCTCAAATCGTTTGAAGAGGTTTAGGGGTCACAACATGTTTGAATATAACCGTTCAATTACGTTCTTGTGAGTATAAAGCGATATCTTGTTTAAAAAAATTAAAATTATATGTTTTTAATATAAGAATAAGCACCGTACTTGCCGTACTTGGAAGTACGTGACTCACAATTAAAAGTTCTCTTAGTTTCGGCCTTAATATAACGTTTACGTTTTTTAATTAACATTAAATAAACATTTGAGAGCGCATGGCTTCTACAAAATGTTTTGATAAAGGATTTCTCTAAAGTGTAGGAGGAAACACTAAATAGGCACCACGTAATATTTTATTTAAAAAATAAACGCTTACGTAATACTAGATGTGTTGTCGACAACAGATGAACATTAATAGAACATTCTGCTTAATCACGTTGAAGCTTTGGCATACAGCAATTTCGATCCGTTACGAACTACCGGTTATGGGAAAATAGCAGGTTAACATCATTATATACCAACAACCATCACCCGCCACAAACGGGAAACATATACCGAGACTCACGTATTGTATTGCACTACATCGCAATAGTTATTAAAGCCATAAACCATAAATGGTTCCGCGAAAGTTTGGTGTTTCATTTGTGGAGAAATCCAGTGTGAAAAAAATTATACGGCTAATTAGGGACCATTTCAAACATACTTTGCCATTGTAAACTGCAAACTTGGAGATGTTCAGCGTCTCAAGCACTTTCTCGATTTTATTTCTCCTGTCAAAAGAAAGAAAACGACGCCTAAGGGCGCTTGGTGCCAATTTAAGGTGCATACAATCGCTGTCTGTGTTTGAGTGTATCAAAGCCTTCAGCTCTTTTCTAACAACCATTCTTATTACGGATTCGTTTCACTCATCATAAAGCAAAAAAAAAAAAAAAAAAAAAAAAAAAAAAAAAAAACAATCTACTCACCTATTTACAACCTAGATGTATACGTACTCACCCATAATTCTTGAGAAAGAGTTCCGCCTTCACGCCTTGATCCTCAGCTTGTTCGAACGAGCTGCATCATCTAGCGGCGACATATAATCCTGCGGTAACTCATAAGCAACGATATCTTATGAGATGCGTATTCCACACACACACGCACATATATACATGTCGCCTAATTCCCATGCTTAGGTCTTCCGCTCATCTTAGGGTGCTCAGTTCGGTTGCAAGTATATAAAGTCTACAAGTCGAGCTACAAGAGCATGCATGAACGTCCACAGTTTACGCTATCAAATTCTAACATGCCACCACCTGCCAACGAAGATGCCGCTAGAAGCCGGGCTTCGGATCCAACTTTGGCTATAACTCTGGCTACGACTGAGGCTATGGCTGTACACACAGCTGCGGCATTGGATCTAGCCGAGGAAGTAGCTGCGCACCCAGGCAGCCCAGGCAGCACAGCTGCGTCTGGTATATTTACAAAAAGCATCACGTGTGCCTAGATGTTAGAGTGCTTCCAACTGCTCGATTGAGGTCACGTAATTTAAGGGCCGCGTTTGCGATACGAGTCACGATGAGATGACAAAAGCGCCAATCGTCTGTAAGCGTCTCCACTTACCGCCGAATTTCCTCCACGCAGCGCGAAAGCGCGACGCATGCGTACTTGCGTCCAGTCTGCGCGGGAGGCAGCCGCCATTAAATTGCAAACGCTCTCCATGGTTTGGGTTGCCCCCTCTCTTCAATCTTGGCACTCGAAGCACAGCTGCTGCCGTTAGAACCTCGGCTTGTGTTATTGCAACATTTAGGGGAAGTCTGTTTCTTTCTGTCAAACGGCATTTGCGTTTTGTACGTGCGGCGCTGTGGCAGTTTTCTTTATAAATTGTGAATATGCCACTTAAATTGCGCTTGTCCGTGTCTACTCGCTTGTAATTATCCCCTGTGTCGCGCAAAAAACCTCTATACTGCATCATGAACCAACTAGGCCAACAACAAGTTTTAATTCACTTAGATCTGTTTTTATGCCATGTTTGATTTTTTTTGTTTGCATAGACATATTTTATTGATATTTAAAATTTTTTTGTGTATGTGTTGTACATCTTTTGTAAAACGTATTAAACAATTTATGGTGACGTGAAAGCTTCGATGAGGAAATGACGACTGTGCAAAGTAGCGTTGTGAAATCTTCTCAATTTCCACCCCTCGAGCTTCTCTATTTTATATCTCAGCGAAAAAAATTGTTACGGCGTTCATATACGCATAGCTGAATATTCCTCACAAGAACGTGGCTTTCATATATATTTTTTTACAAAAATATCAAAATTATGACCCGGACCATCATTGCATGAACTGACGTGGGATCACCCAGTGGAAAATGAAATCGTTTGTTCATAATCAGATTTTTAAAGATACACTTTCGACAATGCCATTCGTAAATATTAATATATAATATATCAGGTCATGGAAGACCAGATAAATAGGAGAATCGGCAGATTTTTATTTTTTAAGCTTACGTGCGCTTTACAACTTCAGTACACAGACCGCGATGCAGATACATTGATTGATTAATTCAGATTGAAAATCTACGCAGCGCTCGCGGTCACTCAGCGCGTACGTTTAGGTGAGACGTTTGACGTCACGGAGGGGTGCAAAGGCCTTACGGTATCAAGAAGGCCTGTCCTGAATTCAAAATTCCAACCATTAATCTTTCTGTAATGGGCTTACCTATAAAGGACGGGGACAGCGGCGCAAGAAATAACAACAAAGTGTTTGCGCCTTTTTTTTTTTTATTACGACGCGCTGGTGTTTTAAACACATTCGCAATTTCTATGGAATCGGCTTAGAGTGTATGCTGACTATAAAGCGACACATCTCAAAAGTGTAAAAGATCGGAAATGTTGTTCCTGTTTTTAAAAATGGAGATCACCGCCTCGTAGAAAACTATCGTCCCATCTCGCTAACCAGTGTTGTGTGCAAGATACTTGAACATATCATTTGTTTCGCATGCGTCAAACTGCAATCTAACAACTTCTTGTACAATCGTCAGTACGGCTTTTGTAAGGGGTTTCAGTGAGAGGAACAACTGCTTGAATTCTACCTCTCAAACTGGTGATTACTGCATTTTCTAAAGCATTCGATCGAGTTCCTCATTGTCGTCTTTTGTCCAAACTTTCTTCACTTTATCTTGTTTTTCCTAACCATGTTATGAATACTTAACTTTCTATCACTTCGCTCAGTATACTATTTGTGGTTATTACCAGCCTGACATTAACAACCCTGATGACCACTCACTACATCAGCATGATTTGGACCGCAATAATGACTAGTGCGATGATTGGCTAATCCTACTGAACAAATTAAAATGTCCAAGTATGTGTTCATCTTACAAGTGTCTTGGTGTCCATTTCACATCTAACCTTTCCTGGGTCGCCCATATTAACACAGATGTGTTAATTAGTATTAACACATCTAACACACCCCTCCCCACTATAAAAACGTAAACTTTATTACAGCCCCTGATCAACCCTGTCAACTGGCTGACAAAGCATATGTCTGCCCTAAACTAGAATTTGCATCAGCTATCTGGAGCCCCCATTAGAAATACCTACCCACTACCATCGAAGCGCTTCAATATCGCGCAGCACACTTCATAACGTTATCATATTCTTCAACATAAGTGTTTTCCTCCTCAAACGTCAGTGCTCATTACATTTGCTTGAAGTGCGTCGTACAGTCTCTCATAATCCCTAAGTTCTCTTACAGCGATTGTAATACAGATTTTTGTTTCCTTCAACCGCCCAATAAATTGTCCCATCGCACCAACTCCAGTCAGCAAATGTTTTCAACATCTCTATGGTTCAACAAACGCAATAATTAACTCAGTTGTACCTTCAGGCATCCGCACATGAAACAAACTTCCCGAGTCCGTAGTCACTAGTAATGGTATCACACTGTTTCCTGAAAGAATTATCTAGTTCTTCCTATCTACTGCGTTTCTTTCTTAATTAAAATTATTTTTTTTATTATGGTATATTACTGCCGGTTTCTGTCATATATAAAATTATTTAATAATTGTGCATAGTTCAGTTGACTCTTAAGTTTAAAATTGAGTGCACTTGGACGTTAGTTTTGTGTGTAATTATTTGTTGCGTTCTTCATATCTGTATCTGTTTAAATGTCCCCCATTACGCAATGCTCTCAATTAGCTTGTTGGGTATTGTGAATAAAAAATGCAATAAGGACGGGCGTTCGGGCTAGGAAGCTTCAGTTCCGGCAGTGGCATGTTAAAACACTAGGAAATGTAACGTGAAGAAGCCTCTCCGCTGTCTTAACGGTGACACTTTTCGCTTTTCGTTCGCAAATAAATTGAAAGTACGTGGTGACTTTTATTCGTATCTTGCTTAGTGTAGGAAAAACCCAGAAACAAACTGATAGCTACGTCGGCGACAGAATCTATATAAGTACACTGGGGGCCATCTTTGGGGCGCTTAAATCCAAGTTTCCTTTGTTTCTTTTCTATCTTCAGCGATCCCCGGCAATGTCTGCTGCACCAACCGAAACTTTTTTACTTCCTCTTCCTACAAATCTGGCTGGTGCAGTCGATCACGACGCAACTTAACTCAAGATATCTGGGTCGCTAAACTCGTCAAGCACAACTTTGTGTCCGAAAGTTGCGGAACGCGCTAATTGGACTCTCGCGCCGCTGACGTCGCGCCGAGCGAGGTGTCAATCATTCAAAGCAAAGTTCATCGAGGCGCGCGTGCGGCGCGTGAGGGGCGCGAGGAGCCCGCTGATTGAACGGCTTCGCCGATGACGCAGCGCCCATTTGTCCCTTCATCCCTACGCCAAGCTAAAATCAATGCTTTGCAAATTGTCCCTTGGCGACCTGCTGAAGCTCAAAATCCCTCCGAAGTTTGTGTTAACAAGAAACCTCGTTTGTCGAAGTTGTCGCTGACGTCAAAGTGACGTTTCCGAACTTTGCGAGAGCCGCGGTTTGAGCTCGAGATCTTCGCTTCGGATCGATTCGAAGTTAAACTTTGTCAACATGGCAGTGCCGTACGCTGCGGCCGAGCTTATCTTCCGCCACCGTCGGCGTCGCTACTGAGACCACTGGGGACGCCTTTCAACTCCCCGACGACGACTTTCGGCGACAGTACCGGCTATCCAAAGCCGTTGTGCGTTTACTCTGCGACGAGCTTCGTTCGCCGCCTCGGACCGTGGAACAACAAGTTCTCTGCGCGCTCCGGTTCTTCGGAACCGGTAGCTTTGAAGGCATGGTGGCGACTGACGAGCACCTGTCAGTCTCCCACATGACTGTGAACCGGGCTGTCAGAGTTTTTGCGGCTGCCATCGCTTTTTTTTATTTTATTTGTTTCTGTAATATCCGAAGAGATACGAATAAGCTGGTATACAATTCAGAATGTTGGAAAACAAACGAGAACCGGGGTAATTCTTGGGTAGGGTCGAGTCTCCCGGCAGCCGGCAGAATTATTTCCCCGAAATTCTACTGGCAGTCGTCACTCATTGGCGGTCAAATCAGTTCATCGAACGACGTGTCATCGACAGATCGTTTCATCGGCACGCGATGTAATCACATGAAAGAGATTGTCTTCCGTTAAAGGTATATACGCATTAAGCATTTTCCCACATTTAAACATGTAAGTGAGGTGTCCCATAACTAACACCCTAATAAGTGTAGCGATGGAACTTATAAAAAAATGTAAACTTCACACCTTTAAAAATGTGTGATTTTTTAAACACGTTTCTTAAAACGTATGATAATGCCGACACCTTTTTATAAAGATGTAAAACTACAATACCCCTTCTCGTCAGGCACGCAGCCAAGGGGATTTCGGAAGGGGGGCGGGAAGGCCAGGCCTTATGCCCCCCCCCCCCCCCCCCGAAATTTTCCATTCTGCTGGGGCCTCCTCTCCTCCCTCCCCCTCATAGAGCACTTTGTCATCGGCGCCCCCCCCCCCCCCCCCCCCCCCCTTTAACCAAAAATCTGGCTACGTGCCTGCTTCTCCTCAAGGTGTAATTACCACTGTTCATTTCTTTTTTGGGGTGTACACAGTGGCCCGGGACCCATTAATATGACTGAAGAAATAAATTACACAAACGAGTCGCCGAAACAGCACGTTGCTTCTTGGCGAGTGTCGAGGCAATATCGTCCGAAAACCGGCTTCAATATTGGCCGGATGTACGGTTTTGCGCCTCGTCCCTACATCCGGCAGGTATGGGAGTACCGATGCAAATAAACGAT